TATGCCAAAAGCATGTTTATTTCCAAATAAAGCATTTGCTGAGACTGTTTTCCAAAAAGTAAAGCTTTGTAAGGCTAAAACTTAATGGCATTATTTCATTTTAACAACACATTTGGTAAGATGATTTAAAAATTTTAAATTCCCTACCTAGTCCAAAGCACTCTGTAATAACATAATTTAAATTATCCTTATAAGAATCCTTAACCTGTAGAGCAACATTTTTTCAGAAGTTCTTGAAGCACATTTTCTTTTAAAAAGATTTTGAAGATGTGTTTTATGTCTTAAATTAGCTCTCAAAAACACGTTTGACCTACAAAACAACAGGAGCTATACTATTAACAGTCATTACAAAATTTATTAGTATTGTATCATGTTATAATTTCAGCAGCATTCTTGGACTGTGTGTGTGTGTGTGTGTGTGTGTGTGTGTGTGTGTGTTCTAATATGGGAAAATGTCCATGCTTTGTCTTTTATTGTTCTTATCTTGAGGTCTTGAAGGAAAATATGGTCTTTGATGAGAACCAAGAGAGATTCATGAATACTTCCTCTGTTCTGGTCTTCCCCCTCCACACACACACACCTGTATTAGGGTGATGGCAAACTACCCTGTGGTCAGCACGAAGATAATATTCATATTTCAAACCTGAATTTTCTGGTTTGATTCTGCTTGTTGGCACCACCATACTTTTATTTTCCATGACCACAGTTTTTGGACAACAGACCAACAAAAAGATAACTAATTAAGCAAGCTAAGAGCTAGCAGTTTAAGTGTTTATTGTTTCCATGATAGCATTTTTTCAAGTAGGATTGTTATGTTTATCTTGAATATAGGAAAAAATATCCATCTATGTAAAAAAATATGAACTTGAAGTCAGTTTCTTTTTGGAGGACAAATATTAAACTTCTGTTGAAATTACATATATTTAACTTAGTAGAAGAAAGCTGGATTTTTGTTGTTTTAAAATTGATCTTTTCAGAGTATATGGTTATTTTTAATTTGCTTAAAAATTTAGGATTTAACCTTTTTTAAAAAATTAAGTTATGGAAAAGTCAAAAGAAAAACAGTAAACGTCACTGCCTCAATCACTCAGATGTTAGACTGTTGTATTTTGGCTTGTTGTTTCCAGTAATTATTAAAATAAAACATATGGTTAAGCCCTTTGGTCCACTTTTAGTCCTCCTACTCTCATATTAGAGGCAAACACTAATATGAGTTTGATTTTTTCCCTTTCAATTAAATAAAATTACTTATATGTGTGTGTATATCTGTCAAAAATATAAGTAATATTTTAAATATACACTTGACACTTGAAGAGCTCTGAGTGCTGACCCCTGTGCAGTCCAAATCTGCATATAACTTTTGATCCCCCCCCAAACGTAACTACTAATAGCTTATTGTTGACCAGACAGAAGCCGTACCGATAATATCAATAGTCAATTAGCACATATTTTATATGTTATATATATGATACACTGTGTTCTTACAATAAAGTAAACTAGAGGAAAGGAAATGTTATTAAGAAAATCCCAAGGAAGAGAAAGTACATTTACAGGACTGTACTGTATTTATCAAAAAATAATCCACATGGAAGTGGACCCACACACTTCAAAACTATGTTGTTCAAGGGTGAACTGCATGTTCAAAGGTGTAAGGCATTTGTTGTTATGATCTCTCTTGTTGACATATAAAAATCCACCTCCTCCCTTTTACCTGTTTTATAACATTTCCTCATATGAATAGAAAACATTTGATTGATCCATTCCTCTACCGATGGACATTGATAAGTTCCTTTCTTCATACCTTCTCTGGTAGTCCATTATTGCTGAGATTTAAGTAACATTTTCATAATAATCAAATACTTATCTACTTTGGACTTGCAGTTTTAGACTACTTAGCAAACCACTCTTGAATATTTTCCACTGGAGGTGTTTTCTTTTTTGATTATTCTTCAAATCTAGCAGAATGGCAAATAATTCAAGATATGATTTTTAACATCAAATGTAATTTGTTCAAAATTTACATTAATCTTTCTCATAACTAGTCACTTCCATTTTGTCTTCCTGTCATCCTGAAGAATGAAAATGTAATTTCCCAGAGGCTTTAAGAATTGGGGGAGTATTAAATGTGACTGAAATTAAGTGATTAATAATTTACTTTTGGGTCATGAATCAACTTCACTGGATGCTAAGGATCATTTGCAACCCCAGAAGCATTGGCAGTAACAATGCACTTTTTCAGACTCAAGAACTCTCAAAGGTTGGCTGCCCAACCTAATTAAACTTCAATCTTCTGATACCAAATTTATTTCTTCTTTGTACTGAATTTCCTCAGATCTTCTTGACAGGAAAATGTCACTTTGCCTGACAGCTGATAGACAGGTTATGTAGCACCATAATTGGAGAGAAAAGGATAGCTTAAAGCTACTCGATTTAATGGCTATGTGTATGGCTTTTTCTCTCTTTCTTTTCTTTTCTTTTCTTTTTTTTTTTTTTTTTTTTTTTTTTTTTTTTTTTTTTTTTTTTTTTTTTTTTTTTTTTTAAGGGTCCTATGACAGACACAAAAGGACTTAGCAAATAGGCCTAGTGCCATTTTTTCCCTGCTTCCTCCAGGGGTAATTATCTTACTCCATCAATAGTGCTGTCAGAAATTGGGCACATAATTCAGCATTTAAATGAACAAGCGATGTAATATTTCCTGTCTCCCAGTGGGATGCTTTGCAGTTCACATTCTTCTCTGTCACTCTCTCACTTTTGATGTATGTCCCATACCCAGTCCTTAATCCCTTCTCTCCCTTGTGTTTCATTGCAGATGTTGGCTCCGACTTGACACCTACTTCATTTGGAGCTTTATAGGACCAGCGACCTTGATAATTATGGTAAGAACTCCTCACTAACTATGTGTCTCCCAGGTCAAAAAATAAAATTTCTATGATCTGGCCATCTTTAATTTACATAGGTGAATTTGGGAAAAGCATCTACTTTTTGACCCTATATGACTCAAGCAATTAGACACTCATTAGAGTCTACTTTTATATTGTAAAAAATGTAATCAACACTGTTGGAGTAGAAAACATGCCTTTGCAAATATTTATGCAGTACCATAGTTCCTTAGGAGCCCGATCCAACATAATCTATTTGGCTTTGTAGGATTTTGAACAGCAATGACTTCAAGTTTCACAACAGTATATTTCCTGTCTTTCATTTACATAATTTGAACTATGAATGAAATCAGAAATTGGAAATATGGCAATATACCTTACTATTCCTTCCAGTTTTGTTTTTTATATAAATCTCAAAAACTTTAAAATTCAGAAGGATTTCACTTAAGAATGGCACAAATAAGTTACACAAGTGTTTGGAATCATACTTCTTTTTGTATTTTTAGATGCATAATATCTTGATTTCAAATATGAATTATTTATTGTAATTTAGTTTCTATTTTTGGCATTATTTATATACCCATCATTTTATAATACAAAGTCATTCTCCAAATAAAATGGCCTCTTGATTCTGAATAAGATATAGATCTCCAATTCATTATCTGAAATCCTTTGAAGCAGGCATATTTTAGAATTCAGAAAGTTTTCAAACGTCAGAAAGACAATATGGTACATGTACTGCATATTAGATAGAATTCCTAGTAGAGAATAAACAGTTGCCCAAAGCAAACACATCAATGAATATCAACAGTAGGGACAAGGCAGGACTCTAAAACCAAACAGTAATAATTCAGCAGAAAAAAAAAATGGGAAAGTAAAAGGAAATGGAATAAAGATAGAAGAACCCTATGTCAGTACAAGTTCAGTTTTCCCACCAAATAGATTTAGTTAAGGTTAGGCTTTTTGGCCACTCAATTAATTTTTTAATACTCTCACTTTTCAGACTTTTTGGATTTGATAAAGGATTATAGAATTGTATTATTGAGAGAACTTCAGTAGGGCTTATAATTGGATTTTCCTCGACCCCACCAATCCTAAATTTTGGAACATATTAAAACAAACCAGGTCACAAAGGACAGTTCAATATATTTTCTGTAGTTTGTATATATGTAATATGTGGAATTTACACTGGAACTTTTTGTTTTGTTTTGCTTTAAGTTCTATCCTCTCTCTGGTGATTCTAGTGATATAACGGTACCATTGAGTGTTTTCTGGACTTTAATGCTAGTTTGTTGTAGCATTAGAATTTACCACCATTTTATAATCCTTTTGATCTAGCTCTTCAAAAATATATTATTGATTTTAGTATTTATGTTTTTGGAATGTAACATTTCAAAATATATCCCCAAATAGTAAATTTGGGGCTGTGTTCACAAAATATATCCCCAAACAGTAAATTTGGGGCCACGTTCAGAGGGCAGAAATAATAACACACCTGGAATAATTTTTTTTTTGTTTTTTATTTTTTTTAATGTTTATTTATTTTGAGAGAGACAGAGACAGAGAGAGAGAAGACAGAGCACGTGCGCATGCACAAGCAGGATAGGGGCAGAGACAAAGGGAGAGAGAGGAATCCCAAGCAGGTTCCATGCTGTCAACATAGAGCCTGACATGGAGCTTGAACTCACCAACCAAGAAATGGTGACCTGACCAGAAATCAAGAGTTGGAACCTTAACCAACTGAGCCACCCAGATGCCCATTTTTTTCAACATATACCTGGCTTTGAGTTGTTTTACAGTTTCCACAGCATCATTCCAACTGCTGCTGATTTTTTATTTGTATGTATTTTGGCATAATGGTGCTTTGTAACTCATTGGTATCCCAACTCCCTAAAGTGGCTTCTTGCCTTTGCTAAAATACTAGGCAATCATCTATGATCCAATTCCTTTATAAGTATAGTGAGAGCTAATTTCCCAGAACAACTCATCTGTTATGGAGAATAGACTTACTTTTTTTTTTTATTCCAGTTATGCTACATAACAGTACCTTTTACATTACAGCTTAATGTAATCTTCCTTGGGATTGCTTTATATAAAATGTTTCATCATACTGCCATTCTGAAACCTGAATCAGGCTGCCTTGATAATATCAAGTAAGTGATTTTTCTTTTTGTTTTCTTTAGCCATCCTAAGTTTGGTACTCTAAATTATCCCTACTTTTAATTCTATTGAAATCTTGTGACAGAATGATGAGGATCGATGTGTTGTCTTTGCTGAATAAGATCATTTATTGACTACTGAGATGACCTGATCTGCCTGAAAATAAGTATAATGAAGCTTTATCTTCAAAAAAACTTTTTCCCAAAACTCTGATTTTCAACATGAGAAGCTCTTAAGATGTACATTTATTATTTTTTTCCTGAGCCAATACAAAGTTTCTGTATCTGGATAGACTGTTATTTCTTGGAGCAGTAACCACATCAGTTACCAACACCCCATCTCCCCCTTCAGAGCAATGTGAAGAGAGTAGAATGGTGACCCTGTGAGCAGCACAAGGGAGATTTTACACCACAGGAGAAGAATCCCAAGATTATTAATCTGGGCAATTGTAGAGGAGCTGTTATGAAGCTGGCCCCCCTCTCCTTCTGAGAGAGGAAGAGAAAACCCAACTCCCCATGGAAAGTCCTATGGTATATAAATATATAGCTCCAGGCTTTAACCCCTTTGAAATGTTAACGCTTCCCTCTTGGGAGGTAAAGCACTCCAGAAGTCTCTCTATCTACTCAGCCATCTTTTAACTTCCAAGGTTTGTCCTTTAATCCAAATTCTATTTCTCTATGCTCAGAAAGCCCTTGCCATGCAGAGATATGAAAATATTCACATTCCTTTCCACACTAGTAGTACTTTTTTATATATATACAAAAGAAGCTAATTTACATTTTCTGAAAAGAAAAATAGTTTCTCAGTATAACCAAAATTTTTATGTTGTCCCTTCAGAGGCTGGGACACTTGAGAGAGATTGTAATGGGGAGATGTACATTAGTCATTAATATATGTTACATATTAAATTGTAATTGTATATAATTTGCCTGTGCTATGTATTAACCTGGCTAAATGTTTTTATTTAAATGAATGTACTTTCAGACGTTTCATGAGGTCACCTGTGACTTTTGAACATTCTCCTCGAACTACCTCAGATAGCAGCTATGTCACCCATTTTTCATCTACATTTAGTGCCTGACACAGTTTCTTGCCCATAGTAGGCCTTTAATGAATGTTATGGAATAAAGCAATACATTAAAGACTTTAGTGACAAAAGTGTATTGACACTAAGTGGTTAATTTTGTTGAAGGAATCATCTGTTTAAATTTACTGAAAAGGATAGCTAAGAAATTAGAGAAATAATATAATGGAGCAAAATAAGAATTATCTACAATGAGTAGTAGACTTTTGTAGTTCGTAATGTTACTTAGTTGTGATAATAGTCATTACTTTCTTGAATTCTGTACAATTAGACTGCCCTTCTAAACTGTAGTATTCGTTCCTTGGACTGTCTGTTCCTGATGAAATTGAATTTAGATAAGTAAATAAGTAAATAAATAAATAGGCTTATAAAATAAGTTTTCTTTGCCGTATCATACTTTTATTACTTTAGTGTAAATGATAACTTCTTTGTCTCTTTTATTTTATGGTATAAAGCAAACTGCAAGTAATACTTTATTACCATTTATGTTGTTTTTAAAGTACTATCAAAAGTGAATGCTTTGGTATCTATGTAACAGCTTTTACAACATAAAAAAATCAGCAAAAAAAGGTCTTGTGCTTATTATAGTCACATATTTTAAAAGACCAATTTGTTCTGTAATTATTCATATATATTTCTTCAGGTGATATGGGTCAAGTCTTTATGATGTTATTGCTTAAAAAAACAAACACACAAATGGCAATAATTACATGAATGACATTGATGGCATTAAGCTTTATATTACAAAGCAAAGTAAAGCCTTAAATGAGAATATCTTGATTTAAGTTCTGTCCAAGCTGCTTTATAGTTTATAGCCTTTGGAAAATTTATCTAACCTTGTGAAGCCTTCCTGTCCTTTTATTTTATTTTTTTTTAATTTTTTTTTAACCTTTATTTATTTTTGAGACAGAGGGAGACAGAGCATGAATGGGGGAGGGTCAGAGAGAGGGAGACACAGAATGGGAAACAGGCTCCGGGCTCTGAGCTGTCAGCACAGAGCCTGACGCCGGGCTCGAACTCACGGACTGCGAGATCGTGACCTGGCTGAAGTCGGAGGCTTAACCCACTGCGCCACCCAGACGCCCCCTTCCTGTCCTTTTAAAATGAGTACAATAATGGGGCACCTGGCTGGCTCAGTCAGTAGACATGTGACTCTTGATCTCAAGGTTGTGACTTCAAGTCCCACATTGGACGCAGAGCTTACTTATAAATAAATAAATAAATAAATAAATAAATAAATAACCTACTTGTAAAAATAAAAATAAGACAGGGGCGCCTGGGTGGCGCAGTCGGTTAAGCGTCCGACTTCAGCCAGGTCACGATCTCGCGGTCCGTGAGTTCGAGCCCCACGTCGGGCTCTGGGCTGATGGCTCAGAGCCTGGAGCCTGTTTCCGATTCTGTGTCTCCCTCTCTCTCTGCCCCTCGCCCATTCATGCTCTGTCTCTCTCTGTCCCAAAAAAATAAATAAACGTTAAAAAAAAAAATTAAAAATAAGACAAAATGGGTATAATAATGAAACATAGCCAACCATCAAATGAGCAGAGGAATATATATACAAGCCTTTGATGATTTTTTCTAAAGAGTCAATAAGGCAAGAAGAGAAATTAAGTAGTTATTAGAAGGGGTAGTTTTGAGATGGAAAAAACAGGGTATGGACGTGCTGATGGAGAAGAACAGTAATAGAGTGGTTAGAAACATAAGAAAGGGAATCATTGTTATAGCTGCGACTTGAGGAATTGTAGAGAATGAGATCCAGAATAGTGGTCGACCAATTCTACTCTATTAGATTACGTGAAGGATGCTTTTCTACCTAGGTACGAGAAGAAAGGGTGTTCTTTTCCACTGAGACTGGATGAAATAAGTAATATATATGATGTAGATATGGTGGAGAAGCAGGGCAGGGCAGTAAACTGAGGAATTTCTGCCCACTCTCCTCTATCAAGTAGGAAAGAAGGCCATTTGCAGGACACAGGGGCATGTGGGAGAGGGAAAATAAGAAAGCAATCTCAAGAAAATATTCCTTAAACTTCCCAGAATCTGAAGGACATTTCATTTTATTTAAAATATATTAACTATTTAAGAAGTACTTGTAAAGAAATCAACAGGGCATAATTGGTAAGGAAAGAAGAATTTTTAAAAGGTAATAATGATTTTATCACTAGGGAAAGCACAAAGCCTGTCATCCTTTTTATTTTGAAAAATTCACAAGGATCTGTATAATAATGTATTTTTAAATATTACAGGTGATATGAGAGTATTTATTTGTAAATAAATTTTATAAATTTGTAAATTTATCTGGATAATCTTTTTTTCAGTATGTAAGACAGGGTATAAAATTTAATAATGTTTTCTTGGGTTTTTTTGTATTTTTGTAAAATGATTAAGATGAGCCACTTTATTAAGATTGTTCACTTTATTGAGGACAAAAAGCCAACATATAAGACCTTTCAAAAGTCAACATCTTTCTAAAACCATTCATTCAATTATCAAATATTTACTGCCTTCATTATGCATGTTCTTTCATACATAGATCTCTCCTTTATCTAAAATGTGTTTGCTTCTCCCCGTATTCACTGCCACCATTTAGTTAGTTAGTTAGTTAGTTAGTTAGTTAGTTAGTTAGTTAGTTATTTTTAATTTATTTCTGAGAGAGAGAGAGAGAGAGAGAGAGACAGAGAGAGAGACAGAGAGAGACAAAGCATGAGCAAGGGAGGAGCAGAGAGAGACAGAGACACAGAATTGAAAGCAGGCTCCAGGCTCTGAGCTCTCAACTGAGAGCCCAAGGCTGGCCTCCAACTCATATGAGATCGTGACTTGAACCACTTAACTAACTGAGCCACCTGGGCACCCCTGCCACCATTTTTTAAAAGCCACCATCAATTTCTGCAGAACCACTGCAGTGGTATTGTAATATCTCTCCTTGTATTGATTCTTGCTGCCACCTTCAGCTGAAGCGATCTCTTTAAAAGCAAATCCCACTATGCAACTCCCTTGGGTAAAACTCTTTAGTGGCTTCCTGTTACTCTCACACAAAAGTCCAGACTCCCTACCCCACCCTACAAAACCTTCCTGGTCTAGTCGCTTCTTTCTTTCTTTAACCTCTTGTTTTGTTTTGTTTGTAAATACTTATGCATTTATTTTTGAGAGAGAAAGACTGAGCAGGAGAGGGGCAGAGAGAGAGGGAGAGAGGGACTGAACCACAAGCAGGCCCTGAACTATCAGTGCAGAGCCTGATGAGGGCCTTGATCTCACAAACGGTGAGATCATGACCTGAGCCAAAATCAAGAGTCTGATGCTTAACTGTCTGAGCAACCAAGGTGTCCCTGGCCTCTTGTTAAGCCATTTGCCCCTCTGGCACTCTGGATGTACTCTCTTTTGCTTCAGGTTTTAACTCTGCCGTTTCCCTTCCCTAACACTTTCTTTTCCCTAACACTATGCCTGGCTGACTTCCAATTTACCTTAATTAATTTAATTTTTTTTTAAATAATTTAATTATATTTTAAATCAAAATTTATTTCATCGTCAGTAAAATAAGCACATTTTTGTGTTAGTTTAGAGAATTCATTTGGCTGGCTCATTACTATATTAATGTTATACTCTGTAAAAAATAATAGAGTGAATTACTATAGGTAACAGGATTACTGAGGAACTGAGGTATGCCAATTCTCAGATTTCTAAATAAGTAATTAAAATTTAAAACTACATTTCTATTTACTGCTTGCTTACTTGTCTTTTGTCTCTTTTTCATCAAAATAGGTAATCATTTGGAAAAAAAAGTAATTCCAGTCTTTATAAGTTTCTGGTTGAGTTTCTGACAAGTTGAAATTGCAGCTTATAGTAATCATAGCAAAAATCTAATTTTAAATACATACATATGTGTAAATATGAATAAAATAATTATTGAATTAT